GCCCCAGGAGCCATTTTGACGAGCCCACGAGCTCGCTCGTCCAAAAAATTGAATTTTTAAAAAAAAAAAAAGAGGTGGAAAAAAAATTTTAAAAAAAACACAAGTTCGCGAGCAGCCCACGAGCTCGTGGGCCGAGTCGAGCTCGCCCCCGAGCAACGAGCCGAGCTCGAGTTCAACTCGTTTTTCACGAGCCATGAGCTCGGCTTGCCACGAGCCCGAACCGAGCTCGTGGACTCGGCCCATTACCATCATTACTAACATGTGCAAGTGAAGAAATGACAAATATATGCAAGAAACTGAAAAAACGGATGCATTAAAAGTCATTTCAGTACATACCATGACATAAAATTGAAAAGAAAGGCAGATTCATTGATTGATTCGTCAGTGTTGTAGGCTAAAAAAGGGGGGGCGAGGGGGGAAATACTTCTACTTTTCCAGAATATAAGCAGAAATAAATTATTGCATTATCAGTAGAGAAAACTGGCAAGAATATTCCACATGAATTCTGCTTAATCTTCTCTTTTCAAGATTTTTCACTGCTGTAACTTCTTTCCATTAATGGAATTTACGGTGCGTGCAGACTCAAGAGACACCCAAACCCCCTGCATGCATATCCCACTTTTTCTGCATGTACCAAGCTCAAAAGGAGAGATACAGAATAGGCAGCTAGCCTCTTTAATATATCTGCTGCTACTATTTTAACTTTCAAGATTTTCACTGTAAACTAGGACCCCCACGCCCATGCCCACCCACAAAACACATTTAACACATTGAGTATTCCTCAAGTAGCTCCTACTCCAAGAAAATCAATGAATGCAATGTTGTTCTTCTCAAATTTTCCATTCTCATTTTCCCCAAACATGTAGGGATTGGCCCTATAGTTGGCTACTGATTCAGATGCCGCTGTAACTTCAGAATTTGAATCTGAGTGACCTGATTGATCCACTTCTGCAGCATGTGCCATTGGCTTATTACCATAGTCCTGACGATTACTATGAGCCAGAACCTTTTCTTCTCCTGTTAAAACTGAAACTCAAGTTAATTAAATAAAGGGATTCATATAAACAAATAAACCATAATTTATGAGACATAGTTCCTACTCTATTTGCTGTTTCCACTATAACAAAGATGAATAGGACAAAGCGATCGAATGCTTCTTGCATTAACAATAATAATAGGCCTCAAGATAGTAGGAGTATTGGGTTGATTCGCAGTTGACATATAATTCCACATTATAATTAGGCTTTACAGGGTTCAAAACTTAAAAAAGACAAAAATCATCATACCTATCTTTGATTCCAATAGATTGTGATGCTGGACAGGTCTAAACCTGCTGAAAAACTGAAACATTTTAACAGAAGAGGGAGTGAGGGAAAGATCAGTGCAGTTTGAGGCAGCAGATTGATCAATAATATTGTCATTAGTCATGGTTGACTCAATGCAAGCATAATTTTCTATGTTATTTAAAGAAAATCCCTTTGTTTGGACCCTTGAACAAGAGAGTTTTCTTCTTCTATAAAAACTATTTTGCTCTCTATTTTTTCTTGCCATTATCACATGCCAATGATTCTTGACTCCATTATCAGTTCTTCCAGGGAAAATCCTAGCAATCATAGCCCATTTGTTACCATACATTCTATGTGCAGCTAAAAGCTTTTCCTCTTCTTCCTCAGTAAAACCCCTTCTGTTTAATCTTGGATCTAACTGGTTAAACCATCTTAATCTGCAACTTTTCCCTGAAAATTTTCAATCGTAAGAGTAATCAATATATAAAAGTGATGAAAAATGAATAGATCAATCAATAGATGAAAAGCAACAAGTATGGAGGATGGTTTGCTAAGCTTAATAATTTTACATACGGGTAAAAGTAAGTTTTAAAATTTTCACATATGTGAGCACATTTGGTCGTCTTAAAAAGCACTTTTTAGGTGCATTTTCTAGGCTAACTTGAAAGAGAGCCTAGAAGGTGAAAATTTCCAGTATTCTCCAGCATGGATTCAAGCACAGCTAGAAAAAGTAATTTATATAAGCACGTTCAAAACGAAAACCTTATGAGTAGTCTTGCCTGATCTTCCTTCTAGTTTTTCTGCAATAATATTCCAGTTTTGAGGACCATATTGAGAAACAAGTTCTTTGAGCTTAGCATCTTCATGAGGTCTCCAATGGCCTCTGGCACATAGCTTTCTATGTCCGGTTTTTCTCCCAGTCTCTTCATTCTCAGTCACATCATTTTTCCACTTTATTGATCTTCCCTCTCCCATTGTAGTTGAAAGCCAAGGCCTTCTCAGATTTTGCTCTAATGGAGCATTCAAATACTGAAACGCCATCTCAGAATGGGCAATAAATGTCAAATCTTGAAATCCACAGGAAATCTCTCTCATCATGACTGCAAATCTATGAAAAGAAACTTGCAAGAAAATTGACAATCTAGCAAGAAAATTGACTGAATATTAAAAAAATGACATATTCCTTTATTGCTTACACAATGCCAACAAGACCAGGAAAGGGATTTCTTACAACAGACAGAAATCTCAATTCTTTTGTGGGTTCAAATTTAGATTTTTTGTCTCTTCAAGGTTTTTGAAACGGAAAAGATGGGAAAGGGGGGTTTTCAGTTAACCTCAAAAGAAAGTGACGAGGAATAGAATGTGTTTTTCTCTAACAAACCCTCTTTTGTCCTCAATTTATTTGAGGTTTGGTCCATGTTTTGAGACCTTAAACAAACATTTTTTTCCCTCCCTCTCTCTATATCTATAAGTTTCTCTCTCTATATCTATACATGTGTGCGTGTGTGTGCCTGCAAATCGAGAACCCCTCGTGTGGGTGGTGAGAGTCCCCATCGAACTGCTCTTTTTTCCTTATAATCTCGATTTTAGAGCAAAAACACAGAATCTGTTTGTCTCTTTTCTGAAAAACTTTATTTTAAAGGCTTTACTGATTAAGAAAATTCAACATTCAAAACTCAAAAGAGAAACTCTTTTGAACACACATCACACCACCTGTCCTAATTGATCCTACTTTTGAAAAAAAAAATCTACGTTATTTCATTGTTTTAGACCTAACTTTAATTCGTGTAACTGATACAATAAACTCATGTTGATTTGTACAACCCTTTCTTTCTTCTAGGAAATAGTAAAAAGTGATATTAGGAATCCGAGTGTTGAAACTATGATATTAATGAAGTTAGGTTGGGACGAGGAATCCCATATTAATGTGCTTCTTAGCAAAATTCAAGAATAATGCTATACAACCTCATTGAAGTTACAATCCCAGTATAGATGGCGCTTGATGATAAGTTGAATAAAAGATTAAATTAAATGATTGATTTAATTCTATCTATTATTAATGCCATATTAACGCCACATAAACTGAGATTATAATCCTAGTGGGGTTAAATAACATTATCCAAAATTCAAGCCTCTAAGCTATCATAATTTATAGCAAATGTTATCGTCTCAAACTATCATTTTATTATTTACTTGGGTTTTATTTTTGTTTATATTTTAAAATAATTATAGCGAGATTATTTTTGTTAATTTTTCTTAATATCAATATTTGCTTCGAAAACTAACTTGCTGGCTATACTTTGAATTGTTAGAAAATTGGGATATCCTCAATTTTCTATGCAATTTAGGAATCAGTCGATATTGATGTCTACTTTTTTTAGTGTACTTTTTAATTAACACAACATTAAGAGCTTGTATATGCTTATTCAAGTGTTTATTGTTTTAATATACACATTGGTCGACATCAATTACTTAATAATCACTATCTAAGTGTCACAAAAATGCGCGTAATTCTCACTATATGAAAAGTAAGTTGCCTATTTTGAGTGTTTTCTTCTTTTAGTGGAAATAATGATATTATCCAAGTGAGATCGACAACTAAAATCATTAACAATATTATATTTAAAATTGCTTAATTTTGAAATCTTAACTTATATTCATAGTTGAAGTTCCAATCAACCGCAATTCATGTCGAACAAATTAGGTATGCCTGAACAATTCTGTCTATCTTTACACCCTACATATGTGCAATACAAAACGTGGTGAATCCGGAGGAAAAATGGGAGACAGTGGAATTGTTTGTTGGAAAGAAGAGCATAAAGGCATCAACAAATGTAACTTTTTTTCATTGATTCTTTTCAAAAAGGAATTTCAGCATTGAGACCTTTCAATGAAAACTTCACTATCAACTTAACATCCCATGAAATTAGCATTAATTTAAGAAATCAGGACTTTGTGCTTTCCCTCAATTTGGGTGTTTAATGAGTAACATTATTGTTACCGACATAATAGCAAAAAATCTTAAACCTTAAACCTCGTAGCTAATTGTATCTCAATCATATTTAAGCAAAAAAAATTTAGTTTTAAAACTCAGAGCCTGTTTAGGAGTGATTTTGAGAATTGATTTTTTGATCGTTAGGAAAAAAGTAGGGTCCACCTGTGAGAGAAGAAGTCAAATATGATGATTGGAATAGTGAAATAACGGCCAAAAAATCAATTTTTTGAGGCAAAAAATCACTCCCAAACAAGCTATCAATAAAAAAATTGGTATTGCATGCTTTGTATATGATTATTTGTGTCGAACTATCATGCTTTTAATCAAAGCCGAACATGCTGTAAAAGAATGATTTAGTTCATATGCATACCTTAATTATGTTTTCCT